ATGGAAGGGGATGGAAGGGGATGGGATAATGGGATGAGAATAGTGACAGGTGGGGCAGAGGGACATGGAGGCAAGGCGATGAGGGATGGGTCAGGATGGGATGGGATGGGATGGGATGGGATGGGATGGGATAATGGGATGGGATAATGGGATGGGAATAGTGACAGGGTGGGGCAGAAGGACATGGGGGTGAGGCAATCGATGGGATGGAATGGGATGGGATAATGGGATGGGATGGAATAATGGGATGGGATGGGAATAGTGACAGGGTGGGGCAGGGGGACATGGAGGCAAGGCGATGAGGGATGAGATGGGATAATGGGATGGGATGGGATGGGATGGGATGGGATGGGATGGGATGGGATGGGATAATGGGATGGGAATAGTGACAGTATGGGGTAGAGGGGCATAGGAAGGACACAGGACAGGGGGAATGCAGGGACAGGGGCACTTGGAGCAGGGGCACAAAGGGATATGGGATGGGGGTATGGAGCAGGGTGCAGGGATCGGGGCAGGGTGTGGATGTGGGAGGCATCCACAGGGAGTTGTGGGGATGCTGGTGGCAGGGGAGGTGCCAGGCTGATGTCGCTGTCCTGGGAGGTGACAGGGTGACACCTGGTTGTCCCCACAGCGCTTCAGCATGGAGGGCATCTCCAGCATCCTGCACTCCGGCCTGCGCCAGACCTTTGGCCCTACCACCAATGAGAAGCAGGTGCCCTTTTCCCCCAAAATTGCCCAAATCTGTTTGTTTTCACTCCTCCTCCCTGCACTCCCCATTCCCCTGCATCCCCCAACCCCCTATTAAAATCTTTCTTCATTTTACATTTAACAACACTGCTCTATCCCCTACACCCTGGTAACCCCTCTTGAAAAAATTACCTGTTTTCACCCCAAAAAGTCCTCCCTGAGAAGGGACGGATTTGGGTGGAGTTTGCAGCACCCAGTTAGTTCAGCATTTCCCAAAATACCTGCAAATTAAATGCAATTGCAGAAGTTTTGCAGAAATACTCTATTTTCGCACAAATTTGTCTCAAGACAATGCAAAACCCAGGCAGCTTTGTGCCATTGGGGTGGTTTTTGGGGTGGCTTTTGTTTTTGCAGTACCTGAACACGGTGATTCCCTATGAGAAGAAGGGCTCACCACCCTCCGTTGAGGACCTGCAGATGCTCACCAACAGTGAGTATCCATTCAAGCTGCTGGTTTGGGTCAGCATCACGTGTTTTGGGGACACAAAGGCACATTCTGCTTTGCTTCAGCGGCTGCAGTTTGGGCTATCATTGCAGCACAACCAGTTTGGGGGATTTTTTGCATCATTGCAGCATGGGCAGTTTGAGGTGCTGCTACCACCCACATTGCATCATCATTGCAATAAACCCACCTGGTGGGGAAAATCCCTGGTTTGCATCACTGCAGCACAGCTGGTTGGCAGCCAACACCTCCCCCAGTTTATTCTCCCTATACCAGGGTGGTTTGGGGGTAAAACTCCCATTCTGCACTGGCACAGGTTGGCTAATGGGGATGGAATTCCTTTTTGGTCCTGTTTGTGTGGGTGTTCCCAGGCCTGCTGCATTAATTGTATGGGGAAATTGCATGGCAGCTGTGGGGCTGGTCTGGGGGGGAAAGGGGCATTTGGGGGGCAGCAGGGCCCGGCTCACAGCTTTGTTCTCCCCACAGTCCTGTTTGCCATGAAGGAGGGGAATGAGAAGGTGCCCACTCTGCTCACGGATTACATCCTCAAAGGTACCTGCTCCTGTTCCTGCCCCTCGTGCATCCTTCACTCAGCTCCTCTGCAGCTCTGGGCCTCCCCCACAGATCCTTTTGCATCCTCCTGCCTCCCACTGCATCCTCTGTGTGTCCCTTGGGCATCCCCATCCATCTGGGATCTCCTGGGCATCCTTGTGCATCCCTGTGCATCTCCCACACCCCTCTTGTCCATCTCTTGTGCATCCTCCTGAGTCCTCGTGTGTCCTTCATGTTCCTGCTGTGCATTGCTGTGTGTGTGCAGCCCTTGTGCATCCCCTTCATGTTCCTGCTGCGCATTGCTGTGTGTGTGCAGCCCTTTCCTGTTCCTGCTGCATCCCATGTGCAGCCTCCTGCAGCATTTCTGCATCCTCTTGTGCCCAGGTGCCTCATTCACACTCATGCAGCCTTTCTGCTCCTGAACCCCTGTGCATGTGGGGCACACTCGTGTGTCCCTGTGCCCTCCTGGCTGTCCCTGTGCACTCTCCTGTGTCCCTGGGCAGCCCAGTGTGTCACTGTGCACCCTCGTGCAGCATTGCACTGTGCCTTCTTGTGCATCCCCGTGCACACTTGTGCATCCTCCTGCATCCCTGTGCATTCTCCTGCATTCCAATGCATCCTTCTACATCCCTGTGCATCGTCCTGGATCACAGTGCATCCTCATGCATCCTTGTCCATCCCTGTGCTTGCTTATAGATCATAGTGCATCCTCATGCATTCCAGTGCATTTTCATGCATTCCAGTGCATCCTTGTGCATCCCTGTGCATCCTCCTGCATTCTTGTGCATCCCCATGCATACTTGTGTATCCTGCATTTCTGTGCATCCTCCTGCATCCTTGTGCATCCCTGTGCTTGCTTATGGATCATAGTGCATCCTCCTGCATTCTAATGCATACCCATGCACACCTGTGTATCCATCTGCATCCTTGTCCATCTTCCTTCATTCCAATGCATCCTCCTGCATCCCTGTGCATCTTCCTGCATCCCAATGCACATCCATGCTTCCCCCCCACCTCTGTGCATCCCTGTGCATCCTTGTGCTTGCTCATGCATCCCTGTGCATCCTCCTGCATCCCTGTGCATCCTCCAATGCATCATCCTGCATCCTTGAGCATCCCTGTGCTTGCTCATGCATTCCAATGCATCCTCCTGCATCCCAATGCACTTCCATGCTTCCCCACACCCCCGTGTGCCTTCCTGTACATTCTCTTGCGTCCCTGTGCATCCTTGTGCTTGCTCATGCATTCCAGTGCATCCTCCTGCATTCTAATGCATCTTTGTACATCCTTGTACATCCTCCTGCATCTCTATGCATCC